CGTGACGCGGCAATGTGTGTGTAGACAGTGAGTAATTGATCTGCAGTCAGAGTATTGTTGAAGTTCGTTATAGCGTTGTTTTAGCGCGATTGTTGAAGTTGAGTGTATCGGTAAAGTTATATTCGGAAAGAATAAACCAGTTTTATCAAGAAAGCACTTGTGTCGCTTAAGTTTTGTCGGAACAAAGTTACGGAAAGTTAATTAACAAACAGAGACGTAACACTACCTTTCCATTATCTATCAGTTCAAAATTAGGAACAGCTAGCACAGAAAGCCCTTTTATAGTTGTACATAAATAACCAAAAAACAAAACAAAGAACAACAAAATATGAAATGCTGTTTGTATAAAATTTTAAAAGTTACGAACAGTGACTTATGGGGGCTGAAAATAGATTTAAAATTCATTTTTTTTACATATCCCCGATTTGAAATTCGAAATAGGAAAAATAAGAATAATGTGAAAAAAAGAGTTTGCATTTTACACCATTTTTATAACAAATGTTAAGAAATTAGCTCTGTTAGGGTATTTATTTTATAGAATAAAATGTTGTTGATGATTAGACTTTGTTTTTCCTTTTTACGTATAAAGTTTAACCCATTTTAAATCATGACTTTTATCAAGTATTTATTACCATATTGGAATTTTGAAATTATATTTGTGGTTATTTATTTATTACAAATTTTGTATACACTTAATGTACTATCGAGTACCTATGTAAATACTTTCAGAAACCTTCCCAGAGCGAGTATCGACACCACTCCTCGATTCAAGCTTGTTAGATCTGAAATTCCACGTATCGTCATAGTCATTGATATCTCTGAAAGCATGAAAGGGGTGAGCTGTTCTGTGAAAATATATTTGTTCATTTAGTGTTATAGAATCCAATATAGTGTCCTTGTTACTTTTCTAAACAAATATAATAAAATCGTCATAAATAGTGTCTTAAATTAACTGCAAATTTCTATATTTGATTTTTGATTTAATGGACATGTGACCAAGGACTGAAGAATTGCCAATGTTTCTCTTAATTTTAAAGGAAGTGATTGATGAGAGTTGCCTTGGAAATTATAGGTCAGTTAGTTTTACTGCTGTGTCCCTAGGTGGCTCAGCGATAAGTCTGAAGGTTTTTGACGCTAAAATTCAGGTTTCGATACCCGCGATGGGCAGAACACAGATAGTTCATTCTGTAGCTTTGCACTTAAAAACAAACAAATTTCTTTAGTGGAAAAATCTAGTGAGTCTGATAAAAGAACCCTTAAAAAATCATTTAGTGAAATATGATATCATTCCCCGTAAGGTGTTTAATAATATATAGAATACTATTATTTATAAAGAATAAAAGTTATTACTTACAAATAAAAATATGTTTATCCTAATAGAATACATGGATTAAAGTATAAACATCCAATAGTTGAAAAATGGAATTATGCATAAACATTTTTGTTACTTAATGTCAAATATATTTAAGAATTGACCTTTAATGATTAAAAAGATTTTAAGGTAATAAAATGAATTAGTGTAATTTTTAAATTAAATGTGGTTTAATAGAAATCTAAATAATTAATAATATTAATTTGAATGTGTTAAAAGCTCTCGAGTTAATTAGAATTTGTAATTAAAATATTGGTTTTTGTTAGCGCAAAGCCAAACTTTAATTATTATAAGTGCAAGATAATACATTTGCGTTATTATAATTTGGATTACACGTTTCACGTAGATGGAAACTCACTCAATAGGAAAAAAAAAGAGGCTCATGGCATAGTCAATCAAGCCGTCGAAGTAGTGATTTGTTGATAGTAGTAAAGCTAATATAATTTTAACGTGTATTTACAGACGTAATGATTAAAAGTTAAAACAAGAAATTAAATATCTAAACACTTCATTAGTTAAGACTTCAATTATAACACTGTAAATAGTTTTTGCTCCTTATCCCCCCCCCCCAAAAAAAAGAGATATTGATATATTGGAAAAGGTTCGGAGTAGGACTACTAGAATGACTCCGGATATGGAGGGTTTATATTACAAGTTAAAATGTCTTATTTTCTCTAGGGTAAAAGGCGAAATTATTCAAGTATACAGTGTTATCCAAGCTATCGATAAGATAACGGCTTCAAATTTCTTTGTTTGGTTTGTTTGAAGTTAAGCACAAAGCTACACAATGGGCTACCTGTGCTGTGCCCACCACGGGTATCAAAACCCGGTTTCTAGCATTGTAAGTCCACAGACATACCGCTGTGCCATTGGATTGGGGGGGGGGGGCAATTTGATGAGATGACACAACAAAAAGACTTGAAAAAAGAAAAAAAAACGGTCAGGCTCCATAAAAGACAATTTGCCCCCCAGTAGCACAGCGGTATGTCTGCGGAATTACAACGCTAGAACCCGGGTTTCGATTCCCGTTGTGGGCAGAGCACAGATAGCCCATTGTGTAGCTTTGTGCATAACTTCAAAAAAAAAAAGACAATTTTATTTATTTTTTAATAGAGTGATGAAA